TTCATGGGAGGTCTGGGCCTGAAGGCAACATATTGTACATGTTTTTAGGGGTGGGGGAAACCGGAGTACCTGGAGAAAGCCCACACAAGCATGAGGAGAACATGCAAACTCCACACAGAAAACCTGGTCTGAACCAGGTATCAAACACAGGACCTCAGGTATCAAACACAGGACCTCCTTGCTGTGAGGCATCAATGCTAACCACTGAGACGTTGTGCTCAAAAAAATTAAAATAACTTTTAAAAATCCCTTAAATGTAACAATGTTATTCAGGCATACCTGAACTCAGACATTCAGTTGGTGTAAATGAGGAGGGTAAAGGTTTTTCAATAATCGCCCAGTCTAATTCGGACTTTGCAAACCAATGTTTGGCTAGTTTTACCATTTCAAAAGTAATGTAATAAAGACTCAGATCAGGTAAACCTAAACCTCCCTTGTCTCTGGGGGCATATAATTTATCTAGTTTAATTCTGGTCCTTTCCTCTTCCCACAGAAATCTTTTGACCAAAGTATCTTAAAGAGRAAAAATAGCAGGTGGTCCAGTAACTGGAAACATCATAAGTGCATAGTAGAGCTCTGGTGTTACCACCATTTTAATTACATTAATTTCCCCCCATAGTGTTAATTTGATTTGWTCACATTTGTCTGAATAATTATTTATTTTTTTCGTAGGACTGGCTCTAAATTTAATATAATTTAATTCCTAGATACTTCATTCCACTTGAAATCTATTTAAACCCATATTTCTTAAAAAAATTGTCCACTACTAAATCCAGTTAAAGCATAGCCTTTGATCTGGCCCAGTTAATTTTATAACRTTAAACGTTAGAATAAGATTGTATTATGTTCATTAAGTGAGGGACTGACATGGTCATTTTAAATTAAGAAAGGCTGTAATTCAGTGTTTCATTAGAAACAGTGACCTGCTAAGACATCAAAATATAAGCTTTAGAGGTTTATCACTGTATTTATACTCATCTCGTATATATTACTGCAAAGGTACCAGATTTGTTATCTAAATAATTTCATAGCAACACATTTATTTGCTCTATTGACAGTAATATTTGTGTACCAGCGCTGATGAGACATTTTGTTAAGGTGTTCATTTTGAGGGTGCTAATTTGGAAGACGTTTAATCCCTGCTTTCCTTCGGCTCGCTCAAGCTGTTTTAATTTGTTTTAATTAGTGGTCTCCGGGTTGCAGCTTCCTGCTGATTTCCATCGCCCTGCCTAATCAGAAACAAATTAACACACAAGGGCCCCGAGTGAATGAAAGGAAGAACAGTCACCTTTGTGGCAGAACAAAACCAGGGCAACTGTTCTCAACGCTTAAAGACTTTATTTCAATTCATTAATAAAAAAAAATAATAGAAATTAAACTTCTCATTTAACTCATCAGTTATTGTTCTAAGATTTTAGTTAAAGTTTTGTTCATTTTAGTCAGCCTTTTGTTTATTTAGCTCTACTGGCATTTTACTACTTTTAGCAGTTTGCAATTTTTTCTTGGCTTTTGCTACTTTGTAACTCAATAGGCTTTTGCTACTTTTCGCTTTTAAATAACGTTTGTTACTTTTAGCTTTAACTGTTTACCTTCCTTTAGCTAGCCTTTTTTAGTTTTGGCCTTTGGCAAGCCTTTTGCAAATTGTTGTAWAAATATTGTTGTATTAGCTCTACATGCATTTTTTATCTTTAGATAACCATCTATTACTTTTAGATACAAGGTTTTTGCTGCTTTTCACTTGGCTTTTGCTATTTTGGGCTGTTGATTAACTAGGCTTTTGTTATGTTTAGCCTTTAGCTAGCTAACTTTTATTATTTTTAGCTTTAACTACAGTCTTGCTTCATTCAGCTATTTTTGTCTTTTAACAAGCCTTTTGCAACTTTTAGCTAGTGTTCTGCTCCTTTTCAATTCAATTCAATTATACTTTATTAATCCCAAAAGGAAATTAAATGTTGTAACTCAGATTATCCTGGTTTCTTTAAAGAGTTGTTACAGATGATGATGTCTGTGGGCAGGAAGGACCTCCTGTAGTGGTCCGTCTTACAGTAGATCTGAAGAAGCCCTGAGTGAAGACACTGTTGTTGTATGTCAGTCCTATGAAGAGGGTGCTCAGGGTTGTTCATCATGTGGTCAGAAAGCTTGGAGTTTGTCAAACTTGTCCTCATACAATCTCCCAATACCCATCATGATTGATGGAAGAGATGATCTCTCTCTCTCTCTCTCTCTCTCTCTCTCTCTCTCTCTCTCTCTCTCTCTCTCTCTCTCTC